TATAAAAATGCAAGTAAATTATTAAAATTACATTAAATAAAAGCCCTCGAAAGCTGTAATTATCCTGCTTTCTGTGAGTGCAGGATGCAGACTGGGGCTCAAAAACGGGCTTGGTCACCGGGTGCTCATTATGCCCATTGCCGAGGGTATCGCGCTAAGTGGCTCCTGCATTGGGAATGGAAACTAAATGAATGGCCGCTTGAAATGCCTTGAAGCCCAAAGGATTAAATGCTCGCTGCACACACAAAGGCGGCGGACTCTGCCACCGCATTGTGAAAACAACTCATTTATCATAAGCGCGCTGCAGTGGGATGATGATGGGGATGAGGGGCCTCGAGAAGGGGCTTTGAGAGGAGGGGGGTTGGGAGCGGAATTTCAGACTGAGGCTTACGACAAAAGTAACTGACAACTGCAGATGAAATGTTGAAAGCGCGAACTGAACACACAGCGCAACAATTAATTGTCTCCGCATTCATTTGCCCTTCGCCAAGATGCCAGATGTTGGTCCAAGGGGGTCAGGGGTCAGGGGGAGTGGCAGGTGGGCGGTCGCCTGGTCACGGGTGCGGCAGGTTGCCCTGCTGCCCGGCACGCAATAATCGCCAGGCATTTGCCCTTAATTAATGGTTGAGCGCAAAGTAATAAACGATATTTAAACAGAAATTGCTTTGTTTTTTCTGCTCTGCTTTTGTAATTGAAAGCAGACGGAATTCATATTTTATGCGGCTGTCATAAAACTTTAACAACTATTTTGCCCAAAAACAAATAAACGCAGAAAAACAACAGCAGCAACCATTTTAATTAACTCAAAAGCTTGAGCATGCGATAAAAGCATTGGCCTTTAATTAAAATATTTATTATTAAATTAGATATGGGTCAGCAAAAAAAGGAAAGCAACGAGACTCACTAAACTAGATTCAGGTAAGATAAATTATTTTAATGATGACAGGCGACGACTCAGGGGTCTGTGCGTGCCAGGACAAAAGCCAAGAAAACTAGGACCAAGGATGGGTCGATGGGTCAAAAGTAATCAGTTAGAGGAGGGAAAAAGGATCAAACTATAAATAATTATTATTTTCATCCACTTTATGCTTTAATAAATGACTAATAAATGTTTTATATTTCCCTAAAAGTTTAAAGTCCCTCAACTCAGACACCCATCAATCAGCGGAGCATTCACCCCATCACTTCAATTAATTCCCAGTTCCAAAATTCCAGCTCTTTTCGACTTGCCGCAACATGACCAATCACTTTCACCAGCCGCAACGATCTAATTAATTTGTTGCAAAATAATTTATTAATTAGCATGTCAGTGTCAGAGATTTTCGGCCACGGCTTATCATTAAACAAAGGCAAAGCCACGCAGCAGATGGATTTTATTCGGGGGCCGAAAGAGAGAGGTAAATAGGCAATTAATCTGGCTCAACTGCGGACAGGTGTGCGCGAAAAAGCTGCATAGGAAAACCAGGTAAAACCGAGGAAAAACCAATGCGAATGGCGAATGGCCAATGTTTCTGTTTCGCAGGACAACGAAGAAAAGCGAAGTCCGGCACAGATGGAGGACAGCCAGCGGGAAATTGAACGAGCAATTATTTATTAATTTAACAGACACGCAATGCACATGGAGTTATCTCGATGCGATTCCTGACATCCGTTCCGATTGCGAGCAATTCGAATTTTTGCATTGCATTGCAGTCGAATGTCAGGATGTCCAAGGATGCAGATGCAGTTGCCGTTGCAGTTGCAGTTGCCGTTGTGCAGTGCAGTGCGTGTGTGGCCATTAAGCATTTATGATGTGCATGTCAGCGTCGGGATTCCAGCTGCAGGCAGGATTCGCAGGACTTCGCTGGACGACCCACCGTTGTTGCACTGATTTCCCTGGCGAATTGGCAACAGGCAACCTGGCAACCTGGCCTCCACAGGACTTTCCGGCTGGGCTGCTTTAATTCAACAGCCTGGCTTAAGATTCATAAGACAATTAATCAATTGCCTCGATAAGTTGCATTTAATTGGAGCAGCTCTCGAATCGAATCGTGGGATTTTCTGACAGATTCCCTTAGAGGACATCAATTAAATGTTGAACAAAAGTAAGGAATTTAATGAAAACCAACGCTTGGTGTTTTGGCTTTGGCCTCCTTTTATATTCTTTTTTTTTTGATCGCCTGAAGGGCTTGGCATTTTGGCTGGGTTTTAGCAAATTGCAGGGAGGCATTTTAGCCCAAAAACCCAAAACCCGAACCGAAATGAAAACTAAAACGTCGCATTTTGCACTCACATCTGCAGAACTGCATTCGAGTCTCTGGGTCAGCAATTTGCCAGCAAGTTTTCTGGCAAGTGAAAAGTGAAAGCCCTTAGTATCCCTGTGTGTGTGTGTGGCGGGTTTGCAACGGAAGTGGGTAAATAGTGCCAGAAGGAAATGTGCAAATAAATATTTGCAAATGAAAATGAACAAGGAAATGGAAGCGCCATGTGGCAGCGACAAGCGCTAAAACGTTTTATATACGAATGTGAGTGTCCGAAAGGATAATAAATGCGCCTGTTTGGCCACACAACAATTTGCAGCAACCCTGATCCCGAAATACTACCTCAAAGAAAATTCCTTGGAAAATTCGCGCATTGTTTTACTGCCGCACAATGGGGCGGATTTTTTGTGGTCGTTGGTACAAAGTCGAAAAATTATTTCCCGCGAAATGCTAGGAAAATGCACCATTCAATTAATATTATTCATTGTTTCATGCTGTGCCAAAATATCAAAGGTCAACATTTGACAAAAAGCTTTGAATGCCTTGCCAAAAATTTCAAGGTATTCCGATATTTGTAAAGGTATATTAAAACCAACCTGCAGTTTATTATCTTTATCGGTTTTTCCTAAATATAAGCCATGCATATTTCCCTAGGTTGTTTAGGCCCAAAATCATGTTTGAAAATTTAATGCCCAACTTTAAAGCCAAAGATTATCGCCAGTGAATCAAATTAATTCGAGTGCAGAAATTCCAGATAAAAAAGGAGCAAAATATGTAAAGGCAAAAATGCTAACCAACTGAATTATTTTCAAATCATTCTAGGCAAAAGCAATTTGCATCTCAATTGGTGCTCAAAAATCGAGGGGCGACGGAACGAGAGAGGAAGTAGTCCCAGTTCCCAGATAGAATGGATGTGGGTATAGGAGGAGGAAAAAATGCTGCCACAAAGCGGCAATCAGTAACAGTTATAGCGGAAAATAGCTATAATATGTATAGAGCTGATATGAATATCTAGCCCAAAACAGGCAGAAAATTGCAAAAGTGCCTAAAAAGAATCCACAGAAAGAGGGTCGCAGAGGCAGCTGCACACATGACTGAAATTAAAATAGCAATAGCAGCACGGCCCAGTCAGTAGATGAGGGTGGGGGTGGTGGGGATGGTGATGAGGGTGGGTATTGGGGGAAGGTATAGGGCCTGCAAGGAGGACGCCCGGCAACCACACAAAAGCAATTTCGATCAGGCACAAAGATAAGGAGCGGATTCGAGAGAGAGAGAGCCAACGCAGCACATCAGTTACAAAAATGTAGGCTACCCCTCAAGACCGCCACCCTTCCTTCAGCGGGGAAAACCCCTGAAACCCCCTGAAAACCCCTAAAACCAGCCCACACCTCAACAAAGGAGCCGTGAAAGCAAAGCAGATAAAGACGAGCCGAAAAAACGAACAAGTAAAAAGGGCCCGAGTATCAAGCACACACAAGGATGCGCTGGAGGATTCGTGGTTTAGGCCTCTTTTTTTTGTTTTTTTTTCTTTTTTGAGGCTGCTGTAGGTGCGCTAAAATTATGCAAATCATCGTAATACTTTCCCGGGCGAAAGCAAAGCGGAAGGAAATTGTGTAAAAGCGGCAAGAAGCGACGAGAAGCGGCTCGAAGCGGAGCTCCTTGTCTGTCTGCTGCTGGCAGCCTTTTTGGCAGGCTACAAAGCAAATAATTGCCCCAGAAATTGGGGCCATGCAAACTGTAATGTAATGGAGCCGTTTCGCTTTGAACAAACGTCGCTCGTCGCTCGTCGCCCGTCGCATGTGTAGTCCTAATGATGATATTTCCAAAAAGAACTGTGGGAATCAAATAAAGCGCTTGGAAAACAGTAAAATGAAGTGAAATTCTTTTGGCAAGTGTTTACTCAAGCGACCGCATTCGATGAAGGGGGGCGGGAAAGCTTTAAGACTAAAAGAGTTGAAGTTGCCGCGCAGTGGAGCATAAAGTGCAAGCCCATCCACCGCCGCCCCCGAGAAACCAGGATGCAGGATCCTTGGTTTCCGCTTCCTGTGGCTTGGTCGAAAAATTTAATAAACGTCAAGCTGAGAGGCAGCCGAGCGACGGACAACATTGCACCTGCCGTTGACCGCATTCGGGAATGTTAGTAGCGAAAAGGTGGGTCTCCGAAATGCATATACGTATTGTCCACACACACACATCATGGTTGAAAAACATGCAATATAGCGTATACGACCCGTGACACATTTGGGACAGCAGCATCAAGCCAGCATCCTTGATCCCTCTATGTGATATCTCAGGAAACTTCATAAGTCCCATCTCTGATTTATGGTCTTCAACTTGCTTAACTTGCCATCCCGGGCATATGTCCCTCCTTTTACCCCGTCTTATAATTGCACTTCTAAACATGGACCATTTATAAATCTTAGACTTGCAAAACTTTTCCCATTTCCCCAATAATTTCGCGCAACATTAACGAGCTTATTAATCGTTGGCCACACACCACGCGAAACAGGAACATCAAGCACGTGCTTCAGGGTTCGGAATTCAGGATTCACGATTTTGATCCTGAAATGAAGGACGCGTGAAATTGTCACACACACACATTTCCCTCATAACCACAGCGATGTGAGTTTGAGGTTTGGGCCAAGGAATTTTATTGGTCCCCCTGGCGTTTGGCATACCTTTTTTGAATAGCGCGACACATTAACTTAATAATTTAGTGGGTGTCGAGTGGGCTGTTATAAATATTTATAAGCGGTGGGCGGTTGAGTGTAAGCGGCTGAGTGGGCCGTCGATGGCAGGACTAGATCTGTTGCTAAGAGCTACTCCAAACTATCCTGCCGCTCAGGGATTCTCCGGGGCTTCTCAGGCTCAATTGCGCGTAAAAGTCAAATGTCTCTGCCTTCTATACCCAAAAAGCTTCCTTGGCACTTGCCACTTGGCTAACACTCACACTCGACACACGATGCCAATACACACACACATGCAAAGTTTGCACGTTTTTCCATATCCCTGTATACACACGCCTCTCTAAGTCGGCGTTATATATGCGCATGTATTAGTTTTGGCCGCCATTTCTGCATGCCCTACAAACGGAAAAGCTTACAGTCGTTAAGGGATTTAGCAGGCAAATATAAATTTATGAAATATTCGCCAAGGATGTGTTGTGCTATTGGGTAGATTGCTATTGCACCTTTCTGTTCCGCAAACAAGCCAGAAAGTCACAACGTTTTGGCCATGTTATATGGGAAAGCCATACTATAGGCAACAAATATACAATCTGCAGCCACAGCACGACTTGTTGTTGGCCACTGGACATCGAACATTGGGACATTGGGTCGAAACCGAAACCGAAATCAATGCTAAACCAAACCGAACTAATGTTATTTGTGGAACAAACAACGATAATGAAATCATGGGGCGCTGGGCAAATGGAAAGTGATTCGGTTCTGGCCAGGTTGTGGCATCGGGCCAATAACTAATTTCATTTACTCTGCCAGGCACATTTGCAATCGCATGGCAGCAGCATATGCACACAAAAGTTGACATTATCCACATGGGACCCAGCAGGCCCCCTCTATAAAGTCCGCACATTACCTGTCCCATCGATCTGCTGGTAATTAAGTTTGATTATCCAGGGCAGATTTTAAATCATCTTTAAATCGCAACCTTGTGCTATCAATTCTGATGTAATTTTGAGGTCGCTGTTATGTACTCCAAAATTAATGCCAGCAATAAAAATTCGACAATGAATTGCAATTACAATAAAACAGTTGTGCAAATATTTAAAAGAAATAAAAAAGAGTCCCAACCATATAAATAGAACTGCAGGCCATCAGCTGTCGAGTTGATTCTGATCGAAATGTTGAGAATTCTGCTGCCGCTACTGGCTTTCTGTGCTTTGGGTAAGGAAAATATTTTATAGGTAAGGAAGAGACTTATAGATTTCGTTCTTTTTAGCTCAGGCCCAGTGCCGTTTTACCCGGGCTCAGGTGGAGGGCACCAATCGGATCTTCATGGTGCGTGGTCGGAATCAGCAGCTCTCCCTTAAACGCACGTCCGATTCACCGGTTGGCGAAGTCCTGCAGATGTGGTGCAATCCACGGGACATTGTGGCCACCACCTGCCAGGCAGGTCGGCCTCCAGCCTTCCGCCCACCGCTACCCATGACCTGCCGGGCGAATCCTCCGGCCGCCGTGACCACGCCCGTTCAGGATCGCAGCTGCCCGGCTACCATGTACCGGGTGGGCTACAATGTGGGCAACAACCAGTTCCTGGAGCTCTATCGCGCCTGCTTCGATACCAGAGCGGTTAGAGCGATCTTCGTGGATCATCAGATTTACGGGAAGCCATTCTGTAAGTTTATATCTCTATCTAAAAAAATCTAGATTTAATATTAATCGTAATATTTAATCTATCAAAGTTTAAAGGATTTTTTTTTTAGTGTCAAAAATATTATAAAAACTTTTAGCAGATTTTTGAATAATTTTAGAACATCACAGAAGTGACTTTGAAAAATTAATGAGCATTTTTTTTAATTCCTAGTTATCACCCGACCCTGTGTGCAATTCAGCTCCGACGGAGTGATCAGTGGAGCCGATGAAGCAAGTTATACAACCCGCAACATTCATGCGACCTTCCGACGATTGTTTGGCAACAATCAGAACTTCATACCCAACAACCGGGATGTGATAATCAATCGAGGACATTTGGCAGCATCGGCAGACTTTTTCTTTGGCGATCAGTTGTGTTCCACCTTTAAATATGTGAATGCCGTGCCGCAGTTTAGAAGTATCAACGATGGCAACTGGGAGACCATCGAGCGATGGGTTCGCAATTCGGTGAGGGGAAATCAGTTCGTGAATGTGCGCACAGGGGCCAGAGATGTGCTCTCGCTGCCCTCGGGCACTGGGCCCAAGAACGTCTTTCTCAGCGGCAACAGGAACCCGGTTCCCCTGTGGATGTACAAGATAGTGAGGAGGTCCAATAACCAGCCCATCGTGGCCTTCCTGACCCTCAACAATATCTTCGCCAGACAACGTCCAGCGGCTCCACCGTTTTGTCAACCTGTGAATTGCCCCATACAATTGCCTAACACAGCCCAGGCTGGTTATACCTTCTGTTGTAACACCGCCACTTTTAGACCCTAATTTGAAAACTAAAATATCATTAAAAAAAATTATCAATAAAAATCTGTGTGCTGCCCAAATATTTTCTATACATTCCTTAACTTATATTATCTTTTTAATAACCAAAATATTTTTAGAAAGTGATTCAGGTATGCAAAATACGAACTTAAATTTTATAAAATACAGAACAGTCAAATAAGCTTAAATTTCCCAAATAATTTATTGGCTTAATCTTTATTTTCTATGAGCCAAAATATTTTAAGATAGAGATTTGGTTAAGCAAAATCAATCTCCTTTAAATAAAGCAATTATTTAAAAATATTATCAAAAAAAGAACAGTCAAATTAGGTAAATATTCCGAAAGAACCGCAAATGGTTCCTGCAAAACCGCATGATATCCCCCACTTAGTTCAAATTAAAGTCAAATTAAATATATTTTTATGTTGTCATGGTGCGAATCAATTTTCATAAATCGTAAAAGTTTGCGTGGCAGTTTAAAACGCATCCAAACACTTTGAATTCGTGCCTCTTTCGGAATGGACTCCAGCCGTCAGTTTTAATGGTCATTCAGCGGCTTCTCATAAATTCAGGAGAACCCAGCCCCCAACTCGCTTTTGGCCCATTTAAATTCAAGCTGCGATTGTGGAGGAGCGAAGGCAAATGCTTTTCAATGCGTGCGAGTGCAATAAAGGCCATGGCAATTGCTTCTGCCGGGGGTTGCGCCTAAAAGTATACATTAAATAAATTATTCAGCAGGGCATGGCTGTTGCGTAGCTTTTAAATACGCACGCCTGCGAAATTGTTTTGTGCGTGCGATGGATATCACGGGGGGATAGGAAACGGACACTGGGAGCTCATAAAAGTGCAGAATAAATTTAGCAACCCGGACATGCGTTGAGCTGGGCTCTCATAAAACCTAACAGTTGTAATTGTGCTGTAAACACGCAACTCAATGGCATTGTGAATGGGCTGAGCACTTGCAACACCCTACTGCCCACCCTACTAGCCCACCACCCACATCCTGGCCATTTCTATGCATCCATCCTGCACTGCGGCACAATTTAATTTATGCCCCGTTTTGTGGCCGGCTTGTTGATTTTGCTGCTTTGCCCCTTTTATTTTTATTGACCATTACAATTCAACACGGGCAGCCAAGCAGGCAGACTCCGACTCCCTCACGCCAACACCGCACGATTTGAGTCACAAATTTTATATGGCATAATTTGGTTTCGCCCCTGTGAGCATGCATTAAAAGTGCCCAAATAGCGCCAAATTGCTCGTAAGCGCAGGAAATTGCGTTACGCCCACTCCAAAAAAATAAAACACCCTAAACCGAAATCAGACAAGAGCCTAGCATACTTTACCGAGCATTAACCATTTCGCAACATGCACATTAAAACCCACAGCCACTTAGACAACTCCCAAAACATTTGAGCCTGAACGATTTCAATGACCAGACGAAAACGACTGTCGGGCTGGGATAAAACAAGGCCATTATTCAGCCTTTGTCTGGCTGGGATTTCGTAAAAGTTGCACCTTGATTTTAGTTAACCACAACACCCAATAAAACTCCCCATCTAGATAGACCACAATCCATATGCAACACTAATGGCCAGCCTTGCTCATCCATGCATAAACTGTATATATTTCCCTTTAAGCCAGTTACTGAAAAATCAACTCAATGGTTTTTGGCAAAATAAATTTCATCAGCAGGCAGGAAAATGTTGGAAATTACTACGCATATTTCCAAGTGGAAAATACTTCTAGATGCAGAGCCGCCCATCAAGTGCAAGTGGGTAACAATGAAAAGCAATAAAAACGCTTTTCAAGCATTTAAGCCCGAAGAAAATGGGGAAAATATGTTTACGGCCAAAAATAGTCTGTTGTCTGTTGGCCATGAGAATTGCTGAATGCAGACACGTGTCCACGAGCTTGGCCAGAACAATGGGAGCGGGCCAAGCAAACGGGCCTAAATGGTATATAAACACCAGTGGCTCAGGCCGATCGATCAAACACATACACCATGGAAGCTCAACAACTGCTGCTGATCGTTGCCATTGGACTGGGAATGGGTAAGAGACAATAAGAGCTACTAAAAACATATAAAGCCTCTGGAAATTATTATACCTATTTAAATAGTACATTTTGTCTTGATTTATTACCTGCTTAATGCAAACGAAATGTTAAGTAATGAGAAATCCTTCTAAAATGCAGCAGATAAAAGGTTTGATTCTAAAATAAATTCAAAAATAATTCCTTATATTCCGCACACATTTTGCTCAGAATTAGGTCATTTAATTTTCTAAATTAAGATCTAATTTAAAACAAATTTAATACATAAATAAACACAATTCCTTCTAAATGTTAATAAAAATCGCTACTATACGAAAGAGGTTTAAAATAAAATAATAATAATTCATTCTTCTAAAATATTCAATAAAATCCAATTTTACTTCTTTAATTTGCTAATTTCCTTTGCCGTTTTAGTGTTCCTATCCCAGGCGGACTGTCCGCTCTCCAGGGCTATGATCGAGGGCACCAATAGGATATTCACGAACCGCAATGCCGCCAACCAATACGAACTGAAGCGTATGCAGAGGGTTCGCACCGGCGAGGTGCTCCACATGTACTGCCAGGCGAATGATATTGTGCAGACAACCTGTCAGCAGAATACCAACTTCAGTAGGCCGCTCCCTCTGCGGTGTCAAAGACCCATTGCTGCCTCGGCCACTGTGGTAACCGATGCCTCTTGTCCAGCGACCATGTATTCCGTGGGCTACACCATCAACAATCGTCACTTGGAGCTCTACCGCGCCTGCTACGATCGCAATGGTGTAAGGGCCAGGTTCACCACCCATTCCGTTTACCACAAGACCTTCTGTGAGTTATAGATAGCTGGTTTTCTGTACAATATCTAACAGTTTCCTTGCAGTCCCACAACGTCCTTGTGCCGATTTCACCCGAGATGGCATCCTCAGCGAGACCGATGTCCAAAGTTTCCTGCCACGCAGTGTTTTCCGAGCTTTCCGCGCCATTTTCGGCAATAACCAGCGTTACATTCCTAACGAACGAGATGTGATCATCAATCGTGGACATTTGACCCCTTCGGGTGATTATCTCTATGGAGATCAGATGTGCGCTACCTTCAAGTATATAAATGTGGCGCCCATGTTCAAGAGTATCAACGATCGGAATTGGGAGACGGTTGAAAGATGGGTGCGAACTCGCATAAGTGCCGGTGGATTGCTGAGGATCAAGACTGGAACTAATGGCGATCTAACGCTGCCCGACAGTCGAAGTCGCCAGAGACGCATCATTCTGGGTGCCGGAACCAAGAACGTAATGCCCCTGTGGCTGTACAAGGTGGTGCGTACCTCGGCAAATGGACCGCACAGCGTTTTCCTCACCCTGAACAACATCTTTGCCCGTGCCCGGCCAGCTGCCCCCGCCTTCTGCACCAGCATTCCCTGCCCCATGACCCTGGAGAATGTGGCAGCCGCCGGTTACACCTACTGCTGCAATGCCACCACTTTTACCCTTTAAATATGAGACAGGGGAAGCCAAATAAAAATATCACTAAGCAGCAATTTCAAATGATTGGCTATTAAATTGAAATCACCTGAGATTGCAAGAGATCTTCATTTGGGAATCATTCGTTTGAGACTAATAATTATAATATATTTTAGAGGCAAACGTCTTCCTTGCAAACACCCCTTCCATTAAATATTAAAAGCTAAAATAGCAAAATCCATAATTTTTTCAAAACCTCACCGAGTCACGTAAACTCCAAGCCCCTTCTGATGATGAAATCCGAGTAGCTACCACTTAATGATGGCCCCAAACGAACGGTTTCAAGTGCGGAATCTTATTTTATTTTCCTCCGCTGCACCTTAGATTCAATTTCAGATAGGTTTTTATGAGTGCTGCTGACAAAATGCAAGCCACATAAAGTTCATTGGATGCAGCCTGAAAGGAACGGGAACGGAAGGGCAACTCCTTTGTTATTAAACGTGCGCTGGCAAGGTAAACAAGCCACCCGATGATATGCGAAGATAAGGCCGACTGAAAGGCACAGGCACCACCACCCACCGAAGAACCGCCCTGAAAAGACCGGAGTAGGGAACCCAGCCGCTTATCACTGATGACCTGCGAAGCGCCTTGACGAATGAGAGGATTTCTTTTAGACTACAACGATAAGAAATACTCTTTAGCAATTGCACCATTGATTAGTCAGCTTGTGCAGGAAAAAAGTATGTATAAGAAATTACAACCCCTGGTCAAGAACCTATGTGAAAAAATATCTACCTGCGACTTAAATCCGAGTTAGAGCTGAGCTAAAACTTGTATCTCTATTTATAAGTGTCAGGCCAATTAGGTTTATCCCACAATTACAGTTTTTCCACACCGCACATATGGTAACGTATGGATCATTTAATAGAGCTACCTGCATAGTAAGCATATTCATAACATACAGATAAGAATTGAAGAAAAATCTCAATTTACCTACATAAGTGCGGACTTCGAAAAATAAAATCAGTTTATAATCTTTGCTCAACGAATGTGGTTGTGTTCAGACTGACCACTTAGAATCCCGAGTTCCAGCCAGAAGTCGAAGCTACTAAGATGAAAGAGCTGAAATATTGGCTTGTCTGCCTGAGTTTGTGTCTCAGTAAGTAAATTTAGTAGATAACCTTATAATCGTCAAAGGTTACGACTAAACAATTTTTTTTTTAGCTGTAGAAACTGGAATAGCTCAATGCACCATCGAAATTAATTATTTGCAAACCAGTAATATTTACTTGAGCTACAAATATGGCATCTACGGTGTTCACCAAAGTGATATTGTGCCTGTTGGTCAAAAGGTTTATTTGCTTTGTTACGGAGCAACTTCCCTCCCCGAATTCGAGTGCAAATCGGATTTTCAAAACCAAATCCATGTTTTCGATCCACCGTTAAACACGGCTAGGTGTTCAACACCATTCGAAGCTTCTGTTGTACATTTACCAGATACCTCTTGTCCAGTTCCGTACGTGATGCACGCAGTGGGTTATCAATTCAATGGACTCTTTTTGGAACTCTATCGAAACTGTTTTGATCGTGACCACTTAGCATTCCAACATTCCATCTACAAGGCTTACCGCTTTAAACATAGTAAGTTTAAAATATTCAGCAGCAACTTTATTATTTTCAATGCTCCATTCTTGATATTTCTTTAGCCGCTTCACGTCCTAATCCTTCATGGAACTCGGATCAAATTGGACCATTTGATATCGCCTACCTGGGAAGCACAGTTCGAGCTTGCTTCCTAACTAACCTGGGTGCAGAACAACCGCAATGTAGCTTTGATCGTGGCCACATGACACCAGCTTCTGCCTTCATCTTCAAAGAACTTAAGAGTGCAACCTTCAGATATTTAAATGCCGTTCCACAGTATAGTAAAGTCAATCGTGGCAACTGGAAAAGAATTGAGACCTGGGTAAACAATCTAGTTATGGGAAATTATGATTATTATGAAACCTACGATGAGCTTCAGGTTTGCACAGGGACAATAGGTGTGCATGAATTGAAACATAACAATTATAACAATATGATACCCATTTACCTTCTGGATAATAACAAAATCCCCGTCCCGAAGTGGATCTACAAGATAGTTAGGCATATCTCCGGAAATAGATGGGTGATGTTAACCTACAACGACGTAATTCCCCCTAGAGAGCGGGAAATAAATCACATTTGCACTCAGATCTGGTGTCATGAAGATCTTCAACTGAACAACAATGGTGTGGGACATACTGTCTGCTGCGAGCCCTACGATTTTATTGAACGAAATCTTAGGCATTTGAGGAATGTTTGCTAAGTCAACATCTAAAAACATTCTAATATGTTTGTCATTTATATTTGTTGCAAATAATGTTAGAAAAAAATAAAAAAGTCGATTCAAAATACCAAGTGAAGAAATAAAATTTCTGATTTTTTATTTTTGATATGAACTGACCTCCAAAAAGCACCGAGCCGGTTATCACTGGTAACCAGCAAAGCGTCTTGATCAGTGTCTAGATTTTGGAAACTAGACAGATAAGAAAAAGCTCGAATTATAAAACCATTAATTTGGCAGCTCGTATTTCGATTTTCAGTACTTGCTGAAAGCCGAATCTGTAAAGATGAACGAGCTTAAGTTCCTGTGCAAAGCCCTGAGTTTGTTTTTCTGTAAGTACATTTTGTAAATGATTTCTTATCAATCATTTTGCAAATAAAAAATTCGATTTACAGTTGTAGGAACTGCCAGCGCTACATGTATTATCCACGAGGACCTATTGAAAATCCAAAACATCTACTTAAGCAATACTAATTGGGTCTACGATCTTCAACGAACTGACATTGTGCCACATGGCCAAATGATATTTCTGTTGTGTCATGGCGGAATGCATCCTTTAGGCTTTCAATGCCAACACAATGTTTTCAATCCGCCGCTAGAAACGGTTAACTGTTCATCGGTACTCAAAGCTTCCGTTGTAAATGTACCAGATACTTCTTGTCCCACTCCTTCCCTTACTTACGCTGTGGGCTATTACCTCAAAGATCATTTTATGGAGTTATACAGAAACTGCTACGATAAGGGAAAATTAGCATTGCAACATTCCATCTACAAGACTTATCGCTACACAAAATGTAAGTGTGATATATTTTATAAACAATTTCGAATCTTAAAAGCATTATTTTTAGCCGCTACTCGTCCTACTTCTGTCCACTGGCAAAGGGACTTATTAATGTCAGCACAAGAAGTTGTGTCTTTCAAGAGACAAGTATCTCAGGCCTGCGTGAGCACTACCTTGGGTGCCAACCAACCGAACTGTGTATTTGATCGCGGTCACTTGACACCAAGTTCTGCTTTTATATTCACAGAGTTTAAGAAGGCGACCTTCAGATACTTAAATGCCGTACCCCAATATAATCTAGTAAATGTTCAAAACTGGGAGTATATCGAGGCCTGGGTTACCAGGCTAGTTAAAGGAAATTATGATAATCGTTATCGAACTTACGATGTCCTTAAGGTTTGCACCGGGGCTCTGGGAGTGCATGACCTGAAACACTCAAATAAGAGGATAACTAGACGGGTTCCTATTTACCTTCATAATGACATCAAAATACCCGTTCCCAAGTGGATGTATAAAATTGTGAGCCATCTTTCAGGAGATAAATGGGTGATGTTAACCTACAACGATGTAAATCAGCCATTTCCACGCGACTTAAACCAGATCTGCATTACAACCGCTTGTCCAGAAGGTCTCAATCGAAATGGAGTGGGATTCACTGTCTGTTGTAAGCCACTCGAATTTATTGAAAGGAACATCGTTCATTTGACTGGCATTTGCTGACACCGCAAATAATCTAAAAATCTTGGAATGAAAATAACCTTGCAATGGTTGTATATTTTAAATTTAACTTCATTTGATCAATAAAGAATTGTTTCGCTACCCATGTATAGCAGTACATAAAAAGGAAACCGATCGAAAAAATATTTAATTTATGTCTGTGATATGTTCGCAATATACTTAGGCAGCAACCTAAACAGTATAGAGAATTAATCCCAGCCGCTTATCACTGAGTTCCGAAGCGTCTTAATGAATGCCGGGACTCTCCTCACTGTAGTGATAATAAAGAACAAATACTCTGTAAGATTCAATACTATACCTATAATTATATAAAAAAAATTGTCTGATAAACTTTAAATCTAAGAGCCTAGGTTGCATGATATTTGGTAATTATGAGAAAATACATTTTTTAGAACATAAATTTATTGCGTGGAACACTTTGCCATTTAACTAAGAAACCCTCTTTAAGGGTATAAAACACAGTTGCTTTTGAATTAATAAATTCATTGATAACTGAGCTTGTTGAGATGCTCAGTTCTCGCTGGAAGCTTAAGCTGTGAGAATGTGCCATCATAAATTTCTCTGGATCAGTTTGAGTCTTTTTTTCCGTAAGTAAACAATGTGTGTTATCATCAGAGCTTATGACTCAACCATTAAAATTTTAGTTATGCGAAATGCCGAGGCTATCTGTTATATTAATAAAGCAGATTTGTCGTCAAATTACGTATTCTTCAGCATCGAGAATGGAGTCTACGATATTCTCCACAGTGATAGTGTGGCAACGAATCATGCGATGTATTTACTTTGCGATGATGGAACATCGCCTATTAAGTTAGTTTGTCAACCGAATAATAGGTTCAATGTGCCATTTCCCAGTGCCGGTTGCACCAAAGTGTTTAAGCCAACTGTTGAAGAGATATTAGATAACTCTTGTCCTCATACCATGTACCGCGTGGGTTATAAGTACAGCAATAGGTTTATGGAGGTCTATCGGAGCTGCTACGATAGTGTGAATTACGCAGCGCAATTTTCCATCAACAAGGTTTATCCGAGCAGAGAATGTAAGCTATATTTTTTATAGTTTAACTTCTTATTAATAACCTTTTTTAGCTGCTCCTCGTCAGGATAAAGCCTTCACCGCTGACCGAGCGATGACCGCCAGAGATGCTGCCGCCTACTCGCTTTCGCGAATTTACCAACGTTTTAATAGTGTTCTGGGTCCAAACCAGAATTATGTGTCTTCTAACCCACCAAACCCCTTCGATCATGGCCACCTGACGCCAAGCGGAGATTATTCCTTTGATCAGTTTCAAAAAGCCACCAACAAGCTGCGAAACGTTGTTCCACAATATTCCAACATTAATAATGGGAACTGGAAGAGGGTAGAGTTTTGGGTAAAACGACTTCTGGTTAGACAAAACTATGATGTCCTCAAGGTCTGCACAGGGGCATTGGGGGTGCAAAAGTTGGCAAATCAGAATAGAGTTCCGACCCCCATGTACCTGTTGGCCAATAACAGAATTCCCATTCCCGAGTGGATGTACAAAATTGTTAGCCATATCTCAGGGCAACAATGGGTTGTCATAACCCACAACGATGGAATAACTTCTAGAAGACCGGATCCTAATACCATTTGCCAGGTGATACCATGTGACCCCGATTTGAACCCCAGTGGAGTGGGTTCTACATTTTGCTGTAATCCCTTTAACTTTATTCGACAAAATGTTCCACACTTGACGGGTGTTTGTTAGGGTCTTCAATGGAAATTTAAACTTAAAGAATCTTACAAAAAATAAATAAAACTTAGCAACCCAATATTTATAAAAAATTTATAAGACCGTCTAAAATCTACATTGTAGATGGCAGCCCTTTATAAACCTACCTAAAACCTATTTTATTCTTGGATATCACTTTTGCAAATGCAATACATCTTGTCGGTTTTGTCGTCGACACATGTCGAAACCTTTGCATAACTGTCGAGTCGACTGATAGTGGGCACCGAAACCTCCACAGATTCGGTGATATTATTAAATAGAACGGTGGCTCGGAAGTCGGCGGTGTTCTGATTCACCTTGAACATGGTGCGATAGGTGGCCACCTCTGTAGGGGGCACCTCATCATGGAAGTTCTGATCCAGGTCGATTTTTATCTCCGTCTCGTGTACGTACTTCAGGGTTAGCTTTGAGCAAATGTTACTAAGATTCCTGCTCGCCAAATACTCGTTGATTCGATCGATTACCAGGGGAGCAAAACGCTCCTCCCAACCCGCATTTAGTCTTTTATAAGGCACACAGGTGCAGTAGTGCTCTGGTATCCCAGCGTCCTCACACGTCCTCAACTCATCGATGGGAAGAAATACGGACTGGCACTTTGGACAGTCGGCAGCTTTGGGTAACTTGGGACCATCAGGAGTTCCGCCCAGTTCGATGATGTGCTTCAGGGTATTGTGCAGATCGTAGTTGGAGGTCAAGCGGTTTTGGTTCAACTGCAGGGCTTTCGCATATTCCGGATATTGAGCACGGAACCAGGGCGGCAAGTAGATAAACATCGAGGGCAGTCGCGACTCCAGGAATCCACTAGGCAGAGACATTATCCTTCCATAACGAGATCCATGATCGGATAGGAATATCATTATACTCTGTTCGAAGACACCATCTGCCTGGAAATCCAACAAATACTGCAGCACGTAGTCTTCCATTTTCGAGGGCATCTGAAAGCTGTCGTGACTGAAGCTATTCGACCAGAAGAGCCCCCAAATGGGACGTTCGTCCACAAAGCGTTTGGCAAATTCTTTGGCCATATCATAGACGTAGCTGCTGGTGATCCGTCGGCCGATGCAGTATCTCATAGAGCAGTCCTCGCATTTCCAGGTGTTCAGACCCGATTCGAAGGCCTTTTGGCTGGGTCGGAGGTAAAAGTCGGTGGGTTGCACCAAAAAGCCGGGCTTACAATAGTTGAATGTCTCTATTCCACTCTCATCCTCACCGTAGGCGGTCAAATAGCTGGCATTCCGGAGGTAGTGCCATATAAAAGGGGTCCTATCCAAACAGCCCTTCTCGTGCCAATTGCACACCTTTTCCATGGCCGAGTTTGGATTATAGCCAGTCAAAATGGCTAGCAGGTTGGGAAAAGTGTTGTCGCCAATCTGAGTAGATAGAAATTTGGGATTAAGACTATTAATCAGATGATTGTTTCTTTCACCCACCTTATTATAGCCCTGCAGTTCGAACCATCCTTCTCCCTTCAGAAAATTATAAACCTTGGGCATAGTTCGACGCAAATTGATCCGCGACAGGCTGTCTATGCCGAACATTAGGACACTTGGCTTCCGTTTAGACGGTTCCATCGAAAGTCCTTTGGGAAGTGGCCTATATTGAATGAGGCTATAGGCATCGCTCTGCAGAATATCCGACTCGTTGCCAAGACGATGACAGGCCAAGATCAGGCCATGAACATGTAGCGGGACCTCGTAGTTATGCGTAAAGTACTTACGCTCCACCCTACAGAACCGAATGATATGTGAGTAAGTAGCTGGTTCCACGAATCGTGTTAGATTAAAGAGATATCAAAGAGGCACGAGGCCTTTACTTGTCATAGCTGTCGTGCTGCCGGTCGCGTGTTATCTCCTGATAATAGCAGTTGTACTCCACCTCGGAAGAGTTCAGAATGATCGATGCTAGCGTCTTATTGATGAACAGCACATATCGCTGCCGACCGACGTCATAGATCGGGATCACCAGGGCGGTTTCGTTGGAGCAGGACTCAAAGTGTTCGGGATGGAACACAGCCATGGCATCCGAATCAAAGGGATTCACATACGGAATCTTGCACTTGGCGGTTTCCACAAAGAAAAGGGGTTGATCCTTCTCCTTCACTTCAGGATTTAATGTAGAACTAGCTGATTCTTCCACTGCATCTTCCAAATCTCTGAAATCCTCAGCAGTATTTGCAGATTCTTTCACTGTAAATTCCGAAACTCTTTCCTTTTCGATAATTTCCCGATATTGCGTATTTGCATCTTGTGTTGAAAGACTGAGAATCACAATTGTGGCTATTAAGCAAAAGCAAAGCCATTTGAGGTACGGATGGAATAAGGTTATCATCATTTGAAGTTCGCATACAGACTGACTAGGCGACGCACTTTTAACCATTAACCACATGAACCCGAGCGCTGCAGCTATCAGTACTTTTAGAGGTATCCATTAATTAACGGCTTTTCTTATCAATAGCACGCGTATTACTAACCGGAAGCAACTTTTTAGTTTATTAAAAGAAGTATGTTTCCAATTACACGTGTTAAACACAAAACGATAACTAATAATGGGGACAACATAATTTTTAGTAAAGAAAAGGAAACTGTCTGGCACCGAACAACTCGTGTGAACTCAATGAATTCGTTATCAGTGACATGATCACGGCGCATGACAGTTAGTGTTTACTTATAAGGAAATTAATGTAGTACACTGGTTTTTGTGTATATTTAGCGGACTATTGTTAAGAAAGTAAAGATATAATGGAAAGCGATTTCACATTTTGCACTTCAAGATTATTTTAAATACCTTAATAAATAACGGTCGACATATTCAAAGGCTTGAGTCCTGGCTAAAATTAAATTCATATGATGTATGTAAAATTATTCGTGGATCGAGACATTGCTAAAGTTGTATTAAAGCTTAACTTAAGCTTAAACTCCGAATGTTTTGCCAAAAGGTGTGTTTCGGAGTAATTACCACCAGTGGAAAATTTTTTGCACGCAATCAATGCGAATTTTTTGGCAAAAAAATGGTTTTCATTTTGGCAATGGATTTTACTTGTTTTCCTTCTCTACTTCCATCTTAATGATTCTGTGCAATCTTTGCTTTCAAGATATCTACAAAAATCGACACTTTCGGAAATGACCATATCCATAGTAGTTAAAAATTTGTACAACTACAAAGTTTTGTCAACTTTAATGTCCAAATAAGAAAAAATCGTTGCCCTCCAAGCTCCATTAGCCCAAAGCTTAATCGCAAACATGTAGTTGCCTTTGGGCACCGGAAAAAGTGTGAACATCATATCATCTAGAACAAAGTCCTTTAGTATCAGGTCGTGCTGCTTAAAGATAAACTAATAGAATATATCTTTTTAAATTATTTTAAATTATACTCACGTTGATCGGACAAGAGTGATTTACATTTATGAAAGGCTTTAAGGCTCCATAAAAGTAATAGAATACATTAGAGGGGTTCGGGTGCTTTATGTTGTGACAAAGATCCACCGTTACATTGAACAGGAATGGATGATACCCGGACATTTTTCTCCAAACGCTGAAATTGACGTGTACCGTTTTAACTGGCAGCTTTTTCAATTTCAAGTGTACGTTAGCTCCGATTATGCCGCGACCCAGGATTTTCAATCGACACACTTTTTCTTCGACAAAGGATTCATCATGAATTTCACACTTGATGTTCGTGTGACGAGTTCCCGAGTCTGCAGATACCGCGGAATCGAAAACACACATCAGAGCTACGATAATTCCGAACTTCATGTTGCTCGAGTCAATAACATACTAATGACTAAATACGAATAATATGAAGCTCTAGTAACTTGATGAAAATGCATTTTTAATTCAATGACCAATCTCCACAAATAATCACTACCACCAGTGTTCCAATCCAGTGAACTTTACTGTTCAGACGGGAAGAATGGTTTTTGCTTTCATATGCCTGTTCTGATTTGATATTTACTTAAATTTTTTACGTACAAAATTTGTATATAAAAACAAATATTACATTTTAATAAAATATATGTTTTGAAATACAATGTGGCAAAATAGTTTGCGAGGTTCAGTATATTTTTCCGCTATGGCATTACTATTTAGGACATTCCCCATTGTAATTAATATAGAGAGCCAAGATGCAACCCTGGCATTAAGCAAGGACCCGATCCTCGTCCAAAATACCGCAGAATACCATATTTATGGATTTCAGGATTTAAGGCATTCAACGACCCCTCTAGACGCCATAGTTTCCGCCTTTTTAAAGGAAGCTCTTCCCGTGTACGGTTCGTTCGGCAAAATTGTTGTTTCAAAATCTGATTCCGTTTATACATCCGCGAGTGATTTTCTGTAATTTTCTTGATCAGTTCAACCATAGAGTAATAATGTATAACCATGTGTAACCATCAACCATGTGTAATAATGATGCCACCTAGGCGAAAAACAAAAATATTCCTCATTTTTTCTATGTTTGATTCAAACATGCATTCTAGGCCCATGGTGAGTTTTATGGAATTTTATATATCTGCACCGGTCTCACTCACTGTTTGGTTTTTGTATGTGGACTCTCAGCACTATTGTTGTTGCCTCGCACATGTTGGATGCGGTGAGAAATCGAAGATCGCTTGGGCAGAGGTTCGGTCAGAGCAAATGGTTCAACCCCATGGTGAAACTATACAAGGTGGTCTCGGCAGCTCTGCTGAGGACGTTAAATATGTTTACCTCTCTGTCTCTCTTAAGCGATAGAATGAGAAAGCTAGATAGAGACTGGCACAAATAACGTCCTCAAAAGAGGGCAGCTCTCGCGACGAGATCACCTTGTATAGTTTCACCATGGTTCAACCCTTTCTCTATCCCAATATTGATGGTAAGATAATTTGACCGGAATATTGTCAATATCTAACCGGAACTCCCCAAAACTATGGTAAACCATAGAAAAATATAGTAAACCAAGTAAAACATAGTAGTAAAACATAGCATAGTAAACATAGTAAACCATAGTAAACCGTAGTAAATTTAAATATGGGCCTTAGTAAGCCATTTATTTATTTATGGCGCTCCCAACGATCGTTGCCAACAGCGTTTCAGTTAGCAAAGAAACCCACCTATTTCTTGTGGCCCTATCGAAGTTGCCCACCCAGTGGTGGATAGCAGCAGAGTATGTGGTGTGCAAAGGCTATAGGCGGATGTTTGAGTAAGGGGGAAAAACCGGATATTTTAGGAACTTCAAGCGCGTTTCGGGGATTTTACCGAAAACCCAGGCAAACACACTGCGCGTTTCGATTCGATTGGTCGTTAAAATAGTAAAATGCGGCTGGGCCGTCAAAAAAATTGGGAAAAATAAATCGCGACAAGGGTCGGACGCGAAGAAGAACGTTGTGAAAATACCAAGTGAAGTGCTCCAGCTGAAAACTTTTCCCACAAAGGATTTAAAAGTTATAAAAGAAGAGAAAACGCAAGATATCCTGGCCCACGCAGGATAGCTGTGTGAAGCGGACGCGAGAAGGATAAGAAGGAGGGGGCAGAAGGAGCAGAGGCAGGATAACAAGACCGAGAAGAAGAAGCTGAAGGCGGAGCCGCATCTGCCGCAGTCAAAACACAAGAGGAAATGCAACAAAAGCGAGATAAAAGTGCATTCAGCTGGGGGAAATGGAAATGTGAAATGTGAACGATGTTGCAACGTCGCGCCGCTTGCACAGCCAAGTAAAAGCAAAAGCAAGAGCAGAAGTGGAAGCAAAGCAAAGCAAAAGCCAAAGTCAGAACAAACAAAATACACAAAGTGAAAGAGCGAGTGAGAAAGAGAGAGGGAGTGTTTGGTGCGGTGTATCTGTGTTTAGTGCGTTCGCGTGTGCCTGTGTGCGTGTGTTTTTGAGCTCGACAACAAATTATCGTTTAATTTTCTTCGATTTTGCACAAACAACCAGCGAGGAACGAAGGGGGATGTCCTTTCCACCACCCCTAGAATCCGCCACCTAAGGTCATAGGTCGCCAGCAGCAGCCAGGAGGTGAGTAACTTGAAATATAAAATCTTTATCAAGAAGTATATGGTTTAAACACCTAACAAAACGATGAGTTGACCTCGCTGCAAGTCGCGTAGGAAACGAATGCCAAATTTAACCAAAATATAAAAACACGTTTGCCAACGCCAGCAGCAACAACAACCACAACAACAACCCGTGTCCAATTAAAGTTGCAGTAGGGAAAAAAAAGAAATGAAAAAAAAACCGGCATGCCGGCTGCTGCAATTCAGAGCTGCTCAAAGTTAAACGAGCCAAGTAACAGCAGAAACAACAAAAACCAAGCACCAGCTACAGTGGAACCTCCCAAAGAGCAAACTAGCAGTTAAATGTATAAAAAATCGAATTTCCTGATCTCCAGGAATCCAACAATTTTTTGTAGGAAATTATTTAAAGTCTACCCAACTCAATTTTTATACTTGGGATTTTTGTTCTTTTTTAACACATGTTGAAATCAGATAAATATTACCGTAAACAGTAGAATTTTAGTTGTTTTTTAAATTTAGTATTTTTCATTAACCCGAATATTTAGATCACATAAATTAAATTTAAGTACCCATACAACATTGAAAGAAAACATTATCAGTTACACATTTCCAAAAATGCACCTATTCTTTACAATTCAAAATTGTTTTACATTATAATGGTAGTTAGTTATGGTTATGTTGTTCCGAAAAGTTCTCCATGCAAAGTTAAGCTATTTATTGTGTAATCTCAGGTTAATTCGAATCATAGAGGTTAAACTGTATAAAAGGTTTTACTCATAGCATGAGTGTTGGTGCTCCCGTGTGGGTGTGTGTGTTTTGGTTTGCAATAGTACACCACTTCGCGGCGCACTTTAAATATTTCACCTAACTACACAGAGAATTCTGCTCGGGTTGCGGTTTTTTCTGCGCCGCCAACTTTTGAAATGAAAATAATCATAATCAAGGGGTTGGGAGCAAAAGGGGGTGGGATCTCAACAATGCCACACCCACTCGAATCCCGCAGCACTCTTCCCTTACTACTAAACTTTTCGTTTATTTTTTGTTTTCTCTGGAAAAGCCAGAATGTATGAATGAGTTAATCAGAGAGCGGAGGCAAAGCGCCAAAAGGCAACAGTCAGCAGACGCATCGTCTGCCCAGCTCTCTGGTTGCCATCGCCATCATCAACAAACAACAAACAAAACAGCAAAAACAATTGCACTAAAGTTTCACTAGAATCTGCAATGAATCAGAAGGAAAAACCAGAAAAAGGGGGCAACACGAAAAGTGCTAGCTGGTAACTTTATACCCTTTTCAGCGAGGATGGTAATGCGAGATTTTAAATATGTATCTTACTGTAATAAAAGTCATATGATAAGCTTCATATCCTAAAACAAAATAGGATAAAAAGTATTATGGTCATTACTTGAATTATTCGAGTTAAAGATATCACTATGGACGGCAGTCCATGTAGTGACGAAGCGCACCAGGAGAGTGTGCGAAGGCGACTACTATATATACACGAAGAAATGAAAATCTACTGTGATGGTCCGATCATAATGAATGATACACCTATCGAAAGGTATTGCAAAAACTAACAGGATTGCATACCAAGACTCTAAGAAAATCAATTGGCTTGGGAGAAAGAGCGGTGAAAGTGAAAAAGTGAAAATTTCGAAATTTGGAGCTGTTGGGGCCGGTGGGGATAATTGCCCCCTCGCAATATTTTACTTGTATTCCTTTTGAAAATACCCGTCGAATGAGGGGTCGTTTGTCAAAATCCGACGCTCCGTTCAAAAGTTATAGCCAAAATAAGATTTTCTTCGTCTTCCCAAAATGAAAATTTAATTCTGTTTGTCAGTTTGTCAGTTTGTCAGTTTGTCAGTTTGTCCAAAACATGTTTTTAAGTTTTGAAAATTTTATATGACGTTCATCACATCGATATAAAAAACTTTTGTTCTACCACTTTTGGAAAAACTCGGTAGTTTAGCGGGAAAACAGCTATAAATAGCTAAAAATCGGAAAGCCGTAACTTCTATACTACTAAAGCTACAGACTTGTGCTGCATCTCGTTTGAAAGGTATTTTTAAATGCTATAAACGCCTTCTATATGCAATTTGTGTAAATGTAATAATTAAAAAAATATGAACAAAAGACAATTTTTTAAAACTTTTTTTAGCTTTTTTTATTTTTCTCAAAAACGGCTCTAACGATTTTCTTTAAAACCTTAAACTGTATAGCCCTTGAGATTCCTTAAATTTTGGTATATAACACATTACTGTAAAAAGTCACGTTTAAAAGTTATTTTTATACGAAAATAGCCACTTTTGCCAGCTCGAACAATTAACGCTCCCTGAGTATTGAATTTTGTGGGAGGGTATCCGAACTGTACTTTAGGGTCATGGAATCAGTAAATTTGCACTAAAGAGTTCCATATAGGAATCTTTTGTTCTACGACTTTTGGAAAAAGCCGCTACTTTAGCGGGAAAAAGCTAAAAATAGCTAAATTTCGTTAGTTTGTAAGTTCTGCACTACTAAAGGTACAGACATGTGGTATACCTCGTTTAAAAGGTATTTTGAAATACTTCAACGCCTTTTTAACTTAACTTGTTAAAATACAATAGTTTAAAAATTATGATTGACCAATTTAAATTTAAATGTATATATTAGCTCCTATGAGAGCAAATGTAAACAAACAAAAACTTCTGATATCAAATAAAAACACCTCTTAACGAGGTAAAAAACTAGTGACGACCGCACCTTCAACATACAAAAGTTTTGATATCAACATTTGTGACGAAAAATTATTACACTCGTCATTAAATAGACTTTCTAATATTTTCTCATTCGGCACGCTGCAATAGAAAATGCCTGTGAAGGGAAAAATGCTGGAATAGTTTGCTAGGGCGGGCCGAATGAGAAAATATTAGAAAGTCTATTTAATGACGAGTGTAATAATTTTTCGTCACAAATGTTGATATCAAAACTTTTGTATGTTGAAGGTGCGGTCGTCACTAGTTTTTTACCTCGTTAAGAGGTGTTTTTATTTGATAATATAACACTCCGTCTTGATAAAAGTTTATATTATCCATTAGCTATATTTAGTTCAAATTGGATTGTTACCCATTTCTTTCTTAAAAAGAAACTACCAAGAGTAACAAATTAGAAACAGCTAATACTATCCAATTTAAGACATTATATAAAGTCGGTGCCATGTTCTAGCCGCATTTACCCATTGGTTTCGGAGTGTATCAAATGCCATGACAAAGATCCCGACGATGAGTCTGCTATAAATTGCGATGGCATTCTGCGCTTAACGGGTTTTTTGTTTGTTACATTTTTCGACATTTACGCCATTGACGTAATTGTCAGACCCGGCCCAGACACACTACTCAACTGAACCATCAGCCGTCAGTCTGACACCGCCACTCCAGAACTCCGCAACTGCAGAGTTCCCTGCTCTATGTAGCACCAGCTCCATTGCCATTTTCATACCCCGTACCCATACCATTTCAAACTCGCTCCCGTCTGCCTTTTTCAAGCTCAAGAGCAAAGTCGGCTTTGCCTTGGTCTTTTCATGAATTTGCATTTGCGGTCGCCGGGAAAATACTCGTATTTTCAGCGGGTATTTTTCATAATTTTCTGCTCGCGCTCGCCCGATTTTTCCAGCACATTTTTTCCTTTTGGCCTGCTGGCGCACGGTTCGTTGCACTTTTGTCAAGCTTTTGCCAAAGTTTTCGGCTGAATTTTCGTGTTATTGTGGGAATCGCACAAAAGTAATGAATGCTCTGATAAATTCTGGATGCCTAGTAAACCCAGCGGACCAAACAGCAGCACAAACAGCACCGCTGACTGCCAATTTGGGCGGACCGCAAGCAATTAAAATTTAATTTTGCCCAAAAGCTCGAGATATAGCAAGCACATAAACCGCAGTATTAAAATTTAACAACGCAGCAGGTCCTGCGGCCAAATTGCCTACTGGCTGGGGCCACTTTAGAGCCCAACACTTTAGAACCCATACCCCACAACGGAAACTCCGCCGCCCCGAGCACAAATTAATTGAATTGAGACACATTTGCGAGTGGCCGCAAAAAAGAGAGATTATTTTGGGAACGATTCCTGTGGGCGGCGGCTGGCACATCAAATACATTTATAATTTTATTAGCAGCGTTTTTTCCCATTCGCCAGAATGACAGGCAAATGAAAGGTCCTTGGCAGTTAATGTTTGGTATTCACGCACTCCATGACAGACGGAAAAATATTTCATTCAGTATTTCAAGCTAGTTTTTTAATATTTAAGAATATTCTAAAAGCCAATTCTAGTTTTAGTTTATAGCATTACCCTTAGAGAAATATAGTTAAATCAAAATTAAATAAGATATTTAAAAACAAACTGAATTTAAAGACATATCTCTAAGTGTAGGGTCAAACCGGGCTGAGTCATCCGCATTCAAAGTGAGATGCGCTGCGGAGTGTGAAGCGCCTCTTAGGATTGGCCATAAAACCATTTGAGTGTTCGACTGTCGCGCAACCTTGTAGCAGAGTGTATTGTTTATGTGTCGGCAACACGCTGCGGTTCCTGAAAACCCCACTCTATCCTTCGTTGTTGGCCCACTGTGCGGGTGTTTGTGTGCTAATGACGCCGCACTTAACCCATGTTACCTGAAAATAGGCGTGTCCAATGTCGCCCCCGGCAGGTAGTCGTCGCCGGGTCAAAGTGTACAAGTATACGGCGATTTTTATGAGCACACTTGACAACTCTATAAACACAGAACGCTTATCACCCGAAGAACAACTCTACTTGACCCCCCGAATATTCCTTTTCTGTTCCACAGAGTCTAACACTCGAGTCGCAATATTCACACGGCTTTAATGCTCGGTTTTATGGCTGATATGCCAGTTAGATATGTAACTTTAAGCCCGGCTCAACTCGAGCCTCGAAATTCCCTCCAGACACTGGTGGGGCCCCTAACTAAAAAAAACAAGGGCCAAAAGAAATATGGCAAAATGAAAGCATTGCCAAA